CGCGGCGGGGATGCTGCCGCCGCTGCCGCGCGTCCCGCCGTCGGCTTTGCGGTTCCAGGAATCGGGCAGTTACGCATCCTTTCTTTTTCTGCTTAAAGAAATTCTGAGCAGTTCCGTAGTTGCAGTGACAGCTGAAGACAGGGATCACCTTCGTGCGTGCTCTGACCCCACGGGCCCCAACAGATGTGTGTGTAGAGCTTGTGAAGAAAGTGGGTTTTCGTTTGCCTTCATTCTAGACACTTCTGAGGTCCCTCCGGGAGCTTTTAGGGAACAGCTTCTCTAAAGAAGGGCACGGAGCGTAAGGAGGATTCCCTTCGTTCCTTTTGAATACGTCTGTCATTTGTAGTTTCGGCGGAAAGGTTACTACATGAATTTGTTGGTGAGTTCAGTCTTTGAACATTCTGACTTCTTTAAGTCTTTCTTGAAAAATAATAATGAATGCTTACTAAGTGCTTAAAACATGCCACTTTCTTTGCCTAACCCATTTAATCCTTATAACAACCCGATGAGGTGGGCCCTGCAATTATTTCTCTCCTACAGATGAGGAAGCTGAGACGCAAAGGCTAAGTGTCTGGTTAAGACCTGGCTGCACAGTCCATGTCCTTAACTGCCGTGAAGAAGTGTGACTTTATTATCCAGAGGGGCAGGTCAGAAGTTATAATTCTGTATAACTATCCCTTGGGGTAAAATGGATGTGAACATTTTTAGGTAAAAGTAAAAGGGGCAGAGGGAAGTGGGACTGGGCCATAAAAATGACTGCTTTTCCAATGATAAAAAGGAACCTTTATTTTTCAGCCAGGTTTTTGTTTTTTGTTATAATAAAAATAGGTCAGGATAATGGGCTTTATCCAACTTTAAGTGAACAGCAGTGTACAGAACAAGAAGATCTTAGAAATATTTTTCTTAGCAACATTGCAGTTAATTATACAATAGCTTATCTGTAAAACAGATTACTTGACAAAGCTGTTATTTTCTCTTCTGTACACCCTCATTGTCACCACCACCTCTTCAGTGCACAGAGCTGACCTCCGGCAAACTCACTGTGGACCATTAGGAAAGGATGCTTCAAGGGTCCTGTATCTGTTTATTTGAATTTCTTCTATTTATGTTTTTAACCATTTTCAAAAAGCTCAACACGCACGATCAAAATGTGCTAGATGCCATGTTTAACCCATTGATGACTAATGTGGTATTTGTGCCACCAAGTTAACTGGTTTGGGGATAGACCAGAATAAAGCTCCGCCTGCCTTCTTTGTTCACGTGCTTTATTGCCAGTGTGCCATCGATTAGGAAGGCCGTGCTAACGCACAGTTTTTGTAGGATGCAGGCCTGCACATGTTGGCCAGTGTGCCACTGTGGCAGGTGCCAGCCTAGAACATCTGCTCCGTGCATGCTGACGTGCGAGTTATGCAATGATGGGGGAGCAGAAAACAGGTTGCGAGGTGACAGTGCTCTATTACAGTTTTCCTGCTCATTGTCACCCACGGACACTTCTTGTCCTTATTTCTGATAAAGATTCATGATAAGGAGAGCCGTTTTCTTGTTGTGATTAAACTTAGAAATAAACATCCCTTGTAATTTCTTTTTCAAGCTTCTGGGTTAGTCATGGGAGATCCTGAGATTGCAAGGAGAGCTATTAAAACTACTTTGGAACAATTCACTTTTGTGATTTCTTGAATCTGCACTTAACTTGGATATTAAGGCTGATGTAAGACTGCTCTTGCTACTGTAACCTTCCATTTAAAATATTTATGTTAAAAATAGCCTCATTGTTCTCATTTATTGACCTTGTAAAGTACGTTACGTGTACTTAAAAATAGCTTTTTTTTTTTTTGAACCAATGACTTTGTCTATTACTTTATGTAATATGGTTCTTGTAAGTTCATTTGAAAATCTTGAGTTTTGCTACTGAAAAAGCACTTGAATATCCTATCGCTTCTAGATGTCTCTTTCGATTTGAATGTCCCCTTTGAGCCTGCTTGTTTCGGTGTTTACTCTGGATGCCACCTATTCTCCCTAGTGAAATCCACTGTACGGTGCAGCTGTGGACTCTCCCAGCCTCATCAGTGATGAACAAGGCTTGAAACCATTACAGGGGCAGATATCATGGGGGGCTCTAAGCAGAGAAGCAGTGAGCATGAAGCAGCAGTGACAGGAGGCTTCAGTGATGGCAGAAGCTCCCTCAGGCTCTGGAATGGGGATGACTTGTTTCTCAGGGACTCTGTGGTTCCCTTTAATTGTCATATTGTTGGAAGTTGCTTCTACTTCCTTCACATGTGTTCTCTTGGTGTCTCGTAGATCTTGTTCTGAGCTCTACTGAAATATGGGGATATAAGGGCTTGGCTGCTTACTGGATCCATTTACCTTAATAACTTCCTGTTATTTAATTCCTCATCCTTTAATGATCTTTTTATTCATAGCCTTCTGTTGTCTCAGATATGACCCAGGTGGTATATATTCTTTTAAAGACACTTTCATGTTGCCATTCAGTAGGTTATTGGGAATGGTTTCTTAAGAGAGAAAATAGAAGAGATGTCAGAAAAGAAGTCTGGCCAGTGACTGCTGTGGGTCTTTAAAATATGACATTTTCTTGGCCGGATAAGGTAAGCAGCGTCCAGGTACTGTGCCTCAGCTCCTGCTCAGCTTTTTCCACACCTGGTGGGCCAGTGTGCTCTCTAGCCTGTAGAAAGCCAAAGTTTAATTAAGAGATAGATTGATTGATTGATTAAGCTTGACGCCAACAAGGAAATTAGTTGAATGATCTTAGTGACTAATGTTAACACCCCAGGGAGGTTGACAGGAATCTCTGTCAAGCATATACCCTGCTTCTTGGTGAGTGGTGGGTGGTAGTCTTACTCTGAAGCTTTCATTTCTGTAGACTTCAGACAGGCTACTTTTTGTGTATTTGTAATTCGTCACTAACTTCCCTCAGTTGGGTGAGTTATAGTGTGTTTTTAATCTTTGGTCTTACTTTAATTAGTTTATGACAAACCTTGCTTTTCCTGCTTTACTCTGAGATATATCATATCCTTGTCCCTTAAAGACGTTTAAAAAATCCCGAGTGGTAGATTTTTACTAATGGTAAATCTCAGAGGATCACCTAACAGAGGATCACCTAACTGTCTCTGCCCTCCCATAGTCCACCCCCTGCCCCACCTCCCCGCAAGAAGCTGGCATAGTTTCTGTAATAGGTGTGGCAAAGATGTCCGTGGCTGGTGCTTTCATAAAATGCTCTTTGACTCTTGTGAATACCTGTTCGAAAAAGATAGGATGATATGTGGTTCTGGATTTAAGTTATAAAATTAAAATTTAGAACCACGTTAGAGTTCTATGCAGCTATTAAAAATTATATTTTGCATTACTTTGAATTATTACTAAAATTGAAATAGATGAAACTCCATGTGTTATATAAAGAGAAGTTGCTGCCAAATTTAAAATGAACAAGTTTTCTTTCTTGAAATTCACTTTCAGTATCTATGAACTATCTGAGCTAACTATATCCAGCTGGTTTTCTTTAATTATTTAGTTCATCCTGGGTAACAGAATTTACCCAGTGTGGCTCAGTTGGTTGGGCATCATCCCAGGTACCAAAACGTTGCCGGTTCGATTCCCAGTCAGCGCACATGCCCTGGTAGGGGGTGTGCAGGAGGCAGCTGATCGATGTTTTGCTCACACTGATGTTTCTCTCTCTCTCTCCCCCTTTCCTCTCCTCGCTCTAAAAATCAATAAAAAATTTAAAAAATAAATTATAGATTAGAAACAACATCAACAGTAATAAAGGGCTTGCTTTATTGGTGGTCTTTTATATTAATAGCACTATTATTTGGAATCAAAACTATTCTCAACTTGTATGTTATGTTAAAATGCTTCCCCCTTTTTAATAGGCATATCTGAAACCACTGTATTTTAAAAGGAACATTATTCCTCTGGAAAGTAGGTGTGGTAGGCACATTCTTACTTCCCACAGACCTCACTAATGTAATGGAGTTCAGTTTGTCGTTAGGTTCACTGACAGCATAGGCAGAATGAAAATTTGTTTTTGACCTAAAAGGACATTCATTTATCATATTTTGCAGACATCAGTAGAAGTATTAATCTCATGGATCATATGGATGCCAAATGTTTATAAAATAGAAGGGAAAGCTATTAAGAATATATTAGGCATTCTGTCAAAAGTGTTTCATAAGTGAATTTCATCTCAGCATAATTTCAGGGGAAATAAACCTGCTATGGAGAAAAGTGGATACTAAGCTTTGGAGCTGATCAGATTTGATGATTTCAGTGGAGCTTTCTTCCCATGCATGCAGGCTATTTGAGGGTACTGCTGAACTGTAGAATGTTCTGATTAGGGCTTATTAGAGGTCAGCTAGTTTAAAATGTAAAGTTGTAGAAATTGTCAACCTTTTTAACCTTTCAGTGGAAATATTTTGGAAGAAAATTCAATACATGCATTATTTTTATTATGCCATTAACAATTCTAAAGTCTTTTTATGTAGGAACATAAAAATGTAGATATAGCTTGGTTTTCTCATAAAGTATTTAGAATTAATATTTTGAATGTCTAAGTATTTAGTTATTATTCAGATAATTAAGCATGTACTGACACAAGTCTTATGGTTGTAGGACTCAACATTCATTTAGCCCAATTTTCCAGCCATTGCTCAGACATAGACTTACAAGAGTTTAGAGCTAGAAGGGAACTTGGAGCTCATCTGGGCCATTCCTTTTATTTTAGAGACGAGAAAGCCTGCCTAGAGGCTGCAGCTCCTCATGGTCACAACCCAGGATCTAGGCTCTTGCTTCCCTTTCCCTTATGTCACGTTGTGCTCCCCTTGTTAGGGTCCAAGGCTAAGGTACTCATCAGCCACCTGACCCCTAGCCCAGTGCCCGCTCAGGCCCATGTGACCAGCTGTGGAATACTTGCATGTTCTGGATTAATTAGACTTTACAGGATAGAGCAGTGATGAAAGATTCATTTTCAGGAATAAAGGGGAACAAACCACCCTGAAATCTCCCCCAAGCTCATTGTACACAACATTTCTCCCCCATAAAACTTTATTTCAAGTTCACAAAATAAAGAGGAGCCAATGCTCAAACCTTTTTAGATACCTATTCTTTTTTGTGCTCAGTCTTTAGTTGAAGCAGCAGTAAGGTTGCAATTTGTTCTGTGGTAGTGATACTAAAACTAGCTGTTTTGTGACCTACAGTAAGAAATATATTTTACAACAGTACGTGTGTGCTTCCTACCTGAAATAAAAATTTATGAAATGATGCTTGACCTTGTAATATATGATACACTTTGATAATTCTTGTTCTGTTCTATGAAAAATATTTTCGTCATGACCCATTGAATGGATTTAATTACCCACAAATGGGTTGTTACTCTCATTTTGAAAAACAGCTCTGCCAAAAATAAAAAAGATGCTATTGTACTTTGTCCCTTGTCTCTTGAGATTGGGTCAGGAGAACAGTCGCAGTACTTTTCCATAAATGATCCGAAGGCATTTTGAAGAAGTGAGGCAAGGTTAGGATCCAAATATTCCTTCCTTGAAAATAATATTATTTCCCGAAGACAAGAGTAAGTCTCTGAAGGGGTTATCTTGGTTGCTTATCTGTTAAACACAAAAATTGTAAAGATGAGTTTAAA